TATAGTAGCAAAAAAATTAATTTTTCTAAAAATTACAACAACAATGTATGCAGTTCGTTTAGACGCACTTTACAAAAAAAATAATTACGCTAATTAATGTATATTTTATTTATTATATTTGTTTACCATTTTTAGTAACCAACTTAAATACACGATTTGGCATGGAATTAACTAAATTATCAAGCAATTCTTGACTAATTTCTCGCCAATAATGTCGAACGGCAACTTCTAGCTCTTGAATTGTTGAAAACTTGCGTCCATTGTGGTATACTCTTCGTGCCAGTATTCCCCATAAATTTTCGATGGGATTGAGGTCCGGTGAGCGTGCTGGCCAATCGAGAAGCTCAATGTCTTTGACAGAAAACCAAGCTTTTGCTAGCTTACTAACATGAATAGCGGCATTGTCTTGCTGATAAATGAAATCTCCAGACATATAATCATCCGTATAAGGTATCAACACATCATCAAGCATTTCAATGTACTTCTGTGAATTCATTCTAGTTGTAATTTTGACCAGAGGAGTCTTGCCGTGCATTGAAAACGCTGCCCAAACCATCAGCGAGCCACCGCCGAAATTTCTGCTATAATTGAATTGCTTTTCCTTCCTTAGATCGTGCCAATAATAATTAAAGCCATCAGGGCCGTCTAAGTTGAACTTCTTTTCATCAGAAAAGACAACTTGTGTCCACTCGGTGGACCAATGAATATGATTTTTAGCCCATTCCATTCTTGCAACTTCATGTTCTGGCTTTAGAAACGGTTGTTTCATTTTTTTTGTATACTTAAACTGGCCAGTTCTCTTCAAAATGCTTGCGACTTGTCTTTTACCGATCGGCAGATCCAATTCTTTGACCATTTCATGTGTTGAGTACTTTCCTGATGACGCTAGCTGTACTAGTTGATTCTTTTGACGATTAGTGATTTTAATATTACCTTTTGTTTTTTTTTCTTGCCATATTCGGATCCTAGATTGACGTAGTTACGAACCACATGATCGCTTCTGTTGATTCTCCTTCCAATATCGCGATAAGATAGGCCAAGAGTGAGCAATTGGTCAATGACAGCCTTCTCAGAATCACTTAAATATTTTTCTTTCGGCATCCTCGAAACACTTATAAACAAATATTTTGATTGTTTACATTTGTAAACACAACATTAGGAAGTAGTTTTGAATTAATAAAATACGTTAAATATACATTAATTAGTGTATTTTTATTTTTTTTGTAAAGTGCGTCTAAACGAACTGCATACATTGTTGTTGTAATTTTTAGAAAAATTAATTTTTTTGCTACTATAAAGTAATTAGCTACTTTAAATGATTAGATTTATGGATTAATTGGTATTTTACATAATTTCATTAAGAATCCATTCCATTAAAAGCATCAATTGCTGAAAAAAATCCAATAAATAGGGTGCGTCTAAACGAACTTCGCGCACCTTATATAAATTTTGCGTAATTCAGCAGCTCTTCTGCTGATAATCGGATTTTGATATCTAGACGCATCTAGGATTTTTGTAACCTGTTTTAGTTGCCTTGTGAAAATCTCAAAGTCAGCATTAGGTTAATATACTTTGAACACTTTAGATTTAATGGATTTAATATTAAAATTCTCTCATTAAGGAATTGAACCCATAGATCTGACGATTTATAGTTTCTCTTCTGCCACTAAATTCTCAAGAGTTGCTTGGAAACATAGCAGAATGCCAACTTAAATAATTAATCAACACCTTCAATAGGAACCTTTCACAAGTGTTTAATTGTAAAAGAATTGCTATACTTTAGAAAATTTGTCTCTTGATATGATTGATATTATGGTCAATTCGCAGTTTTTGCACTGTTTAATCGATAGCTTTGGACTAGGTTGACGTTTCCTTGCCATCAGCTATTGTTTATGTTAGCATCACTATTTCTAATCTGTTGATAAACTTATCTGCGAAGGAGGCATTCCTAAATGACGTTCATACTTAAAAGCTGAACATCATTTTTGAGCCACGCCTTAGAGGCTGTTCACTTATTACTTACACTTTTAGGGAGGGCCTGAGATTTTGACACAAAGGGTTGAGGGGGTCTAAATAGACTTTTTTCGCGTTACGTAATAAGTGAACGTCCCCTTATGAAATCTTTGAAATCTATGGAAAAACTTTACCTCCCTCACATCACCATGATCACTACGACAACAAACGTATAGTTTAATAATGAATTATTACTTAATTAATTTCATTCCATACCTTCAAAATTCTCAGAAATTGTTTAAGAATTCTCAATCCTGAAAACATCAATAGCTATCAATAGCGCTATTAATTTGCACATTCGCGCAAAAATTAAACTCGCACCCATCAAAATTTATTTGAGAGTGAATGTAAATCAATTGAAATTATTAATGAAGCTTGAAATACTGAAGCACTTGACATACACAATATGAAAATGCTTATTTATGCTGTCTAATGAATATTTGAATTACCACCAAAATTCATAATGAAATGGAAAAAAAATCTTTATTGATTATGAGTTCTCGTAAAGCATGATATTGGATATTGAAGAACTAAGTTTTGTGCTTCCATTGTGTTTTGTAAAATTGAGGGATTATATTGAAAATCCATTCAATATCAATCGAACGAAATGCTCATTAGCATCAAAATAATTTCATTAATTCTTCCACGTTATACTTCACATGTTGGTATAGATGAAATATTCACGTCATTCATATGTTCTCATCAAAAGCATTTCAAAGCCCGCTTTCTAATTAGCAGACAAGAATTGTGCTATTGTTTGGCATATATAGTTATAACATCGCTTTCTCTATACGTACGTACGTACAAGCATGCGATTTAACTAATTATTTATGCTCTAATAGGATCCTTGTTTGACCCTTTATATGCATGCACGAGTATTGCTGTATATGTTGAAATTAATTTTCTGCTTTTATAAAATACACGTACAAAATAAAATATGTGCTTAATATTTATACTACAGCACTACTCATGCTTGACATGAAAATACAATTTTTTTTGTGCATTTCCATCTCCTGATTTTTGATTTTTTAACATTTATGCACATTTGACTCTTTGTCTCACTCAACGATATGAGGATATACCAACAATGTAAATCGTCACAATTAATTTTATTTGTAATTAATTTTTATTTCTCTTCTGTTCCGTATTCATCGTACAACACGAAACGAGTTTTGGTGCGTTGTTCACGCTTCATCATAAATCTTCGTGAGAAGCTGAATGTTGCTGTCAGTAAAACTTTTTTTTTTGTTCTGTACTACTCGTTATTATTTTTCAGCATTTTTTAAGCGCTGGCTAGCGAATTTAATCAATTGAGAATAAGAGAGATGGAGAGATTGGTATTTAAGCACCAAAAAATATATTTTATTAATTTTATTCATAGTTGGAACTTTTTTTTTCTATTTTTCTGAAAAAAAGTTTTTACACACAAAAATAAAGGATTTCTTCACATTTTACGTCCACAATCTGATTTTATGGCTAAAGAATTTATTTAACTCAAAATCAGAAACATCTGAATCACATGTGTGACGTCATAAGTGAACATCCCCAAGCAGCAGAAAAAGAGAGATGAAGAAAAATTCCGGAATTCCAGCATTTAACCCTTTTATGGACTTGTTCTCATTGTTTTATATGTTTTTTTAAGAACGGTTCCATGATTTTTGAGCATTTTTATATCTGAGAAATTTCTTGAATGAAATGAGAAAGAAGGAAAAAAATTTCATCAAAGCAATAGCCTCGAATGGTTTGTTTAGCACAATTTTATGAGCTTTTGATGCGCATTTGTGGATATTTTGGCAATTCTTTCTTTGGGTCAAATTGTTTTGTAAAAACATTTATTTGGAAACAATTTAAGTTTTGTGAAAAATCGATAGTCTACGAGTTGTGTTGAAGAAATGTTGATGTACAACTAATTTTGGATTCCTTACATTATTGACAATTATGCCTAGTTATATATCACAATTAATCATGCACTTAGTCATCATGAGTTGAACTTAATGTCTAGTGACACAAAATTAGCCAAAACGGACCCTATTTAGACATGTGTATGTTGCATAGTGCTCCATATTTCTCGCAAAGTGGATGTTTTGACCATCTGAGCTACATACTTAAAGAAAGTCAGTCTTACTCTCCCAAACACGCGTTAAACAAGTCATTCAGAATTAAAACTGTTATTGGAATTATAGCTTAATTTTAAATCTGGGATATAAAAGGGTCTTAAACTATGATTATTATTATTTTTATTATAGAATGTTGTTGTAAAGGAAAAAGCCCATCAATTGTACCCCTTCTGGGAGGTGGAGGAGATGAAATACCCTAATATACCTTAACTCCCCAGACAATAGTAGGATTGATTGCCCAAAGGAGCCCTAGAAATAAGTCTTTAATTTGTAAAATGGAAAAAAATCATTTAAAAATTTGACTTGACTTGGGATTGAACTCAAGCCCTTGAGCACGTAAGGTCAAGGCTCTACCACTTATGCCATTAAAATAAAATTTTGATATAATTTTTATTTGCACGTTTAAAACTTATTATATCTCTTTTGTACATTCGATTTATCAGCTCCACTAACTCCCATGAATGTAAAACTCAATTACCGATAACAATTTTTACATACTCAACTTTTATGCCCATAACAACAAGAGCACTTTTTAACTCGTTTTAACTCTCCAGAAACAACAAAAAAAAATTTGTTTTAATATCGAAAACATTCTTTTCTGCTTCAACAAATTTCCAACAATTATTTTTAATGGTCTTTAATTTAAAAATTTGTAAAATTAAATTGCTGTGAATAATTAGAATCTCTCCATCTTCGTTTTCCTTTTTCAACAATAATTCCAACTAATAATTTTGTATTTCGTATTTTGTTTTAATTTTTTAGAGAAAATCATTTAAGCAAATGTTTCTTAAGTAATTCAGTGATGAATTGAAAGGCAAATGAGAGAAAAGACTCAGTTTTTTTGCTTGCTCTTATCAAGTTTATTGTGAAATGATTTCTCATCGGAGGAATTTCGTCTTAAAATTTCTAGCAATATTCCATCTTCTTCAAATTGTTTATGCGACTGGCGAAATAGCCTGTGGAAGTAAGTTTGTGTTTTGTTGTGTTTGAGGCGCATGTTTGTGGATTATTGTTTGAAAATGATGAAAATTTGTTTTCTGATGTGAAGATATTAAGCTATTTACATGAGTATGATGGATGTGAGCTGAAGTGGCTCGATGGCTGAATGGTTTAGTACTTCTGTATCTAATTAATACAATACTTACATACTGATCATGGGTTCGAGACTCAGCACGAGAAATTTTTTGCTTGCACTTTTTCAAACCATATGTACTGGAAATAAAGCTCACAGTCTTCCTTTTAAGGCTCCAGGCAGTGGTTCGGATCACACTATAATATTTGGTCACAGGACTTTAATTAGGATTTTGATCTTTCAAATCTGAAGTCTAGAGTCATATGTAAGATATTCTGCCAGTGTGGCAGCAAGGTCTTTGTGCCTGAGTTGCTAGACAATAATACAAATGTTTCTAACCACATTTTGTGAGAATGTGGGTTTGATTCCTACTAGAAGCTATTCTTTAATTCTCACCATATTAACATCATTGCATGACCATAGAATTTATGGTATGGCACTACTTATCAGGCCGTAGAAAATATTGAATAAGTATATTGATTAGAACCAGAGGTTTAGTCAGGGTAGTAAACAGGTTTTGGGTTCAAACCGTTCCCCACAATTCTCTGCTTCCCCCCTCAAACATAACAAAATTGAAGAATAATGAAATTTCAAATCAATTTTGAGCTTCCATGCACTAGACATATCATTGGATATCACAATCTGAAATCTCTAATCACTACATTCCAAGCCACTTCCCCTAGTACTACTCAAAAAAGGAACTCCACAAAGGAAAAAGTCATCAAATTTTCATCAAAAAAAATCTCATTTCAATGAGATCTCAAGGTGTGAATGACAAGCCAGACCAATCTGACAGATATTTAATTAACATGACAAAGTAGAAACGTTAAGCTCATTTACATTGACAAATCTACATAAAAAAAGTAGGAATAAAGAAAGAAAGCAAGAAATTCTTTGCTCTATTTCATTCAACATAAAAATTCCATTAAAATTAAATTAAATTCGCAAATTGCAGAATGTAAAGAATATTCGAAATATGTCTATGTTAATGAAGCTAGTCCTATCATGTCTGCTTCATCATCACAATACAATTTGGTATCGAAATGCGGAATTGTTGAAACTCCACTTATCGTCGGTGGACAACGAGTCAATGAAATTGAATTTCCTCATATGGTAAGTACCAGAAGCTAAAAAATTCATGTCAATTCAACTTTTGCCCTTTTCCTTGCCTGAGTGCCTGAAAATCACCATATATCTATCTATCTACATGTGTGCACATATATGTATCTATAAAAAGGCAGCAATCGGCTATAAATCAAATGTGAAAAGGGAACAGTATGCATTCAAGTGTGGAGGGTCGATTATATCAGAACAGTACATTCTCACAGGTGCGTATATAGCTTAAAATCTTACTTTATCCCTCAATTTAAAATTTGTTATGGTGATAGAGGAAGATATAGAGCGGAGAGTAAATGAAATAAAAGAATAGTGAATATTTAGAACAATCAAAATCTAATTTGGATATTTTCTGAAAAATCCTTTTAAGCTGCACATTGTGAAACAGACCGTGTAAATGGACCACCCGTAGTTGTTAAGCTGGGAGTAATTTATATTCATGATACTGAATTGAATGCACAACTTATCGTTATTGATTCCTTCATATCTCATCCAAACTATAAAAGTAGTGAGAAATATTTCGACATTGCTTTAATCAAATTGAAGTCATTCATTAGATTTGATGAGTATGTTCGACCAGCATGCGTTTGTTTACCAAGTGGATTGGAAAATCCATGGAGAAAGGCGATTGCTATAGGTTTTGGGAAGACTAGCTATGGTTTGTATATCACATCTATTTTGTTTCTAGACGATATGGTATAAACGGATATAATTTTATTATGTTCCAATATTAATATAGTCTCATTGATTTTTGTTCTTCTCTACGTCTCGCTATAAACGAGTTTTTTCCAAGTTAATAGCATTTATGCTTCTTTTGTCGAGATCTGAATGAATCTCATTTTCATGCTGCATTCTTATTTTCTTTTCATTCAATTTGAAACCAATTAAAATTTCCTTTGTGTTAGGAATTTTCTTTAAATTATCAAGAACATTTTTGATTGAAAAATTATGGAAATCCAGCTTTATATACTTTATTTCTTTAATTCGAGGGGGATAACAACATGTTGGGAAAATGTTTTGATATAGCTGGCTCATGGGGATCGAAAATGTGTCCAAAAAGAGTCAATCTTAAGACTAAACTTAGTTTTTAAACCAAAATTAGACAAACCTTAACCTTCAACCTCTTGCCCTTACAGTACCTTACCCCTTCTACCATGTAACCCAAGAACCATAAAATTCGCTTTAAGCTTTACAACTTTAATATTTCCCATACCAATACTTTTTCTGCTATTATTCTCATCTTTATCATTCGATACGTACCAAAGCTATCAGACAATAGCTCGGCTAATTTATTATGTTTGTGTGCTTCCTTTCAGAAAACGATAAAGGAACTCCTCATCTCATGAAAGTCTTACTGAGTTATGTTGATAGAGCCACTTGTGTACGCACTTATCAGGTTATTTATAATATTTGGTGCCAGAAAAAAAAATTAATTCACATTTTGAGCTTGTTACTCTTTTTATCTTAGTCTTATAAGCTGCTTAAAAATGGAATAATTGATTCACAATTTTGTGCTGGTGACTCTAGGGGAAAGAAGGTAAGCAGAGCTTTATAGCCATTTTAACCTTATGTCATCCTCCCGAAAAAAAAATATGTTTTTAATTCCCTTGTTTCCACTTCTTTCTGAACATTCTTACTCATTAATTGTTAATCATGAAAACAGATTCTAATTTTCTTTTATTTTTTTCGTCTAGGATTCGTGTGAGGTAAGAGCCATTGGATAGTAGATAGACACAAATGAAGTGGATGCTTGAATATTTTAATCAACGAACTTGAACTTTTACCTATCTGATGAATATTTTTTTCAGGGTGATAGCGGTATGAATATTTTATTTTTTTAAGCAAAATATATCTCCTGACTGAAATCTTCTTTCTCACTTCCTCTACATCCTTTTCGACATGACTGAATATAAAACAGGAGGACCACTTCAGGTGTGTATTTGTTCAATCTACTGATAATAGTATTTTGTTTTATTTTTCGATGTAACCCTTTTGCTGTGAAAATAGGAAAGTTAAGTCAGGAAAAAATACTTTGTTGAAGTTGATTCCATTTTTGTAAATTAGAAAATTTTAAAGAGATGTTGTATGAGACATTTTAGATGTCTTGAACTGGATGTATATTATTAGTCTTACTAAGATCGATTTGAACATATTGTAACATAGGCAAAAATATTAAGCACTTCTATGTGACAGCCACTTGGCAGTCACATAACAGCCACATGACAACCACATGACAGTTGCATTACAGTTGCATAACAGTCACGTGACAACCACTTGAAAGCAATATTACAGTTGCATAACAGTCACGTGACATGAAAACCACGTGACAACCACGTGACAGCAACATGTGTGACGATCGGGCTCTAGGTTCTATTTTATTAGCACTCGAACTTAATAGTTATTAGAATTCACACTGGGCAAGCTTCAGTATCGTTCATAAATCGTCGTTCAAACTTATTTGGTACTGTCTCAAGATGTATGTCACCTCAATGTACGAATAAAAGGTGACAGAACATAGGAGAAACTCTCAAAACCAAATCTTAGATTCTTTAGAGAGTTTAGAAGATTATAATAGCAATGCCTATTTGAAAACTGAATTAGACAAAGCACAAAGTTCTTATAAGGGTGTATCTTGAAATATCTCAAGCATCTCACAATTCATTAGCCACAAAAGACAAATTACTTTGTTTATAGGAATCTTAATTAACTTACAATTGTATCAATATCAAGTCATTGTTTCTTTGTTCACTGACCTTATTTCTGAAACATTGATCAAAGTATTGCATTTTCAAGTTGATGCCTATGTCAAAAGTATAAAGTTACAGATCTCGATTGAATTGAGATCAACAAAGCAAACAGAGAATTCAGCATAACCTCATCAAAGTTGTTTAACCTGAAATGGAAATACCTTTTTCCATTTACATACATACATACATACATCATCTCTCAATATTACTTATAGCCAATAATATATAACTGCGTTTATGTTGATCTAGAACAATAATCGATTTTGCAGATTGTCATGACGGAGCCTTATTGCATGTACAATATCATCGGAATCACATCGTTTGGAAAATTTTGTGGATTTGCTAACTCATATGGAGTCTACACGAATGTTGCAAGCTTTATGGATTTCATCGAAAAAATTGTATGGTCGGTGAGCAAGTGACTCTTAAGTCCTCAAAATATGCTGTATAACATGTCCCAAATTGTACACATTGTGTGTATGCGGTATGTGAACAAGTGTAGTGAATAGAAAGTAAAATTGCAATCACAATACAATTGTTACGTTTATTGTACTTCCACAACATTCACTTCACGATCAAATGCTTCAGTAAATTTTTGATGTTAACCGACAAACGGTGAAATATTGCTTTACTTTATTATGTACAAAAGTCAAACATATTTATGCATTCAATGTTTACCTTTTACATTTTTTTCTTTTAACCCATCACATTCTTATTCAGTCTTGCTTATGTTTTACTCTAATTTACTCTGGCATATTTTTTTTACTCAAATAGCTTGCATATTTCATGATGAATCAAAATTCTTTTTGCCATAAATTTCATACTTCGCTGTTCTTTTTTTAATACCTTACTTTCCAATACATACGGAGAGGGGCTTTGGGGTCATTCATAAATTAGGTTTCACCTTGATATTTGGTTTTTTGCCTTCTTCTGAAATCATTTTTATGAATATTCTTCGCTAACTGATCCAGTGTTCTACCTGATCCAACGTGCGACTTTATCCATCATACGACTTTATCCACCAGACAGCACTTATATTTCGTGTAGCCTGAACTGATAAGCTCCAAGTTTTAAAAAAAACTGAACCTTTCCCACCACACAAATGATGATTGATCTCCCTCCTTCCCGTTTGTCAGCTTCTTGACCTCTTACATCCTTATGGTTAGCTTCTAAAGCTACCCAGGCATGGATTTTCAATTCTAAGGTTATGTATCCTAGATTGCTTTACAAACCAGCGCCTGACATTGACCACACAAGCTTCACAGTAATATTTTTTTATGTAAAAAACCTCCCCTATCAAGCATTCCGTAACATCCAAACGACCCTAAGTACATACATATTATCTACATAATGTAAAAGAACCAGCAAGAATATACATTGCGTGCTAAACGTAAGCAAACATCTTTGAGGAAAGCGAAGCTATTTCAATTTAAATTGAAAATTCCTATCTCGAAACAATTATTCATAGCTGTACACGTACATAGAATCGTATACATGTATATGATGCTATTTCAATGTTTGTGGCTTGAATTAATAAGAATTTTTACTTCTCACCCAAAAGTACATTTACTTCGAGGTAAATGGATGAATCATGAGAAATATTGAAGCATTTGAAAAAGACAAAAAAGAAAATTGCTTTTGGATGAAGGATGATGAATTCTAAATAGAAGAATATGAACTGGATTTGGATTCATGGAAGATACCTGCTTTGATTTTATTTAAGGAGCTTTACAGGAATACGCTACCAAGCATTTAATTAAGCTGAAGTTATGGAACCAAATTAGGGATTTCGTTTGCTAAAGGTAAAGCACAATAAAATGATTTTTTTAATGACATTCCTAATTTATTTTGAACTTTGAATTCCAAGAAGGCTGTAATTCCATTTCATTAGTATCACTGCTAGAACTTATGTCACTAGATACTTAATATTAAAGCTGTTTTTCTTAGAAGATGCAGCTTAAAATCCATTGATTATTTTTGTCTCTAAGTCTCACTTCCTAGAAACCAATTACTTTCACTTCTTAATGAACCTTGTCGAGCCATTCTGATATTTTCTAATTTAATTAATGTTGTGAAAGTTGAAGTTGCGTGGGAAAGTGAAACTTTAAAGACTCACGAATGACACAGGTTGGTTAATCGATGTCAAATCTGGCGCCAAGCTAGCAAGACCCTGGAATGAAGCTGGCATTGATTTAAAACCGGCACCATGCCAGAATCACACCGGTTCTGATCGATTAACCGACTTGTGCCATTCGGGACTTTTAAGTACCATTTTACAAAGTATGGTTAAGGGTAAGGTTTTTGTCGTGAAAGACTTTTAAGGAAAATTTAAATTGTGGCTAGCCTGATCATCACACATTTTTGAAGTGCCAAATCACAAGAAAGAAGGTTGATTTGATTCTGAGCGACTTAACTTCTTGACTCAGAGTCTAAAACTTTGTTCTTAGAACTCTATTCGCTGTATGCACAACATTTCATTGTACCTTGAGTCATACAATTATGTAGAGTTGGTTAAACTGTTTGTGCAATATATTAATGCTCAGGCCTTGGCTCAGGTCCTTAAATATCATCAATCGTGTTCAAGTCAAAATATTTACGTCATTAAATCAAAATATATTGAGCTTTAAACATGCTTTTGCATTACATCTATTATAATTATACCTCTATAAAATGTATTGATCTATAAACACAACAAGGAATGCCTAACAACACAGCTTCAATATGAAAACATTCAAATAAATTTCCAAAAAATTCTCAGAACTTTCAATAATCTATTTCAATTTTATTCCAATTACAGATGGTGCATAATGACGTAGAACATCCTATCAATGCCTAAGCTGATTAAAAATCATAATTACAGCTGCTTGATGTAAAATTACGCAGATAGGAAATTAGCATTTGATTTCAGCACTAATCAACATCAATAAATATGAAATTAAAGTAAATAACATTAAC